TTTTAATATTAAGAGATTTATTTTTTTAATAATTAATATAATATAATTTAATACAATCTAAACTATATTATATTTTTTTTATTACAAGTGAGTTCAAATTCATATATATAAGAAATATAATGGCAAAATCTTAATTAAATTAATATTTATTAACTTAAAATCTTAATTTAAGTTAAAATTATAAATTTTATATTATCAAATAACTATTTTTTATGTATCAAAAATATATATAAAAAATATGAACAAATTAAAATAATGACAAATAGACTCAATTTTAAAAAAAAAAATTAAGTTATACATCAGATAAGGAATATTTTTATAGGAGGTGGCGCTGTACTGTCTAGCTGGTCCTGATGTCATCGAAGTTCTTTTTTTTTTTTTTTTGGGTTTTTGCGAGAAGCAGCAATCATCGAAGTTTTTTCTGCTTTTTTTTTTTACAAAAAAATAGTTAAATTAATGTTAATATTTATTGTTTTATGAGAAGATCAAATTTTGAAATTAAATGTATTCAATCTACTGCCCAATAAATAGCATGACTATCATTAACCCACATGCATGATTATCACTAACCCACATGGGGATTGCGATCATCGAAGTTGAAGTAAAGCAACAAAGTAATCACCTGTATGCCATTTTTGGAATATCTGGTGAAGTTTTGGTTTACAGCTTTCAAGCAACAAAGTTTTGGTTTCTCTTCCATTTTCCTTGAATTTGGTTTGCCAAAGAAGTTTTGGCCGTTTCTGAGTCTACCCCTAGGCCAGCTACACTGAGTGGGAAGTAATTCAATTTCCTACTAAACTTTTCACTTCGGGTGCCATTATGACCCCTTTACTTTCAAATATGGAAATTATGACTAAGTTACAAGTCCATCCACAAAATATAAAATAATAACATGAAACCATGGCTTATCCATGTTGAAAGCAAAAAGGCTGGCAAATATATTAAAATGTACAAAATTATAAATATAATTATATTTCCTTATAAGCTAATGAAATCTTAAGTCAATTGTTTAAGGGTTTAATAATAAGAAAACTAGTTAGATAAGTTAAGAAATTTAAAGGTTGAAGCCTCACATCTTTAAGGTTATGGTTCTACACATTTCTTAAAATTTTATATCATTTTATTCAGTAATTTTTATTAAAGGAAAAATTAAGACATTTTAATATTAAAAATATTATGATGTCTAATAACACTCATATAATAAATTTAATAAAATTACAACTTATATTATATTTTACATATTTAATGTCAAAATATCTTAATTTTTCATTTTTCTTGATTAAATCTCATTTAACAAGATTTAATTTTCAAATCCCACCGTTCTCCACTGCCTAGTGCTTTTCATAGGCTTGGAAATAAATTTCCCCTGCTATAAATAAAAAATGTAAAGACTAAAAAATGTTTTTTTCACCATCGACCATGCTGGACAGCCAAAAAAGTAACCAATAAACAATTTTATTTGTTCCAACGAGACGCTCCTCCGAAGGTAAAATGTTAACAAATTTGATAATATCTTCAAGTCCGGTGATGTTAACCACACCAAAGCACCAGATATTCATGAATATCTATGTATTAAAAATCTTCCAATCATGATATCCGAAGCAGAATATGAAGAACAAATAGCCCATGTTCCCCTACAAGTTATATTTTCACATGAAGCAACATTCATAAAGGCCAAAGACATGGTTTCACCAATCATTTTCGACCACCTAATAAATTATTCTTACTTCTGTATCCTTCCTTTTGGCTTTTCGGGATCATTGTGTCGTCTACTGATATCTGGTGTCTCAGGGCCATGGAGTTCTCCGCACAGCTGTATAAATAAGAGCTTCTAAATGACATTTCTTAGGCAATGGGATATTGTTGAGTATGGAGGGTAAAGGGATGGATGAAGAAGGGGTGAGGACAAGAAGCTTTCGATATGAAGATTACAGCATCAGAAGAGCGTTCCTAGAGAGCTATCCTCTTCAGTGGAGAGAAGATGACGAGAAAAGTGAGGAAACGTCACAGGTCAGTGAAGAGAGCACTGGGAAGAGACCTATCAAGAAGACTATCCTATCTGTGTTTCATTGGGGAGGAGAGAAGGTTTTCGTCTTGAGGAGATTCAAGCAGAAGGTCACAGTTTATGCCATTGCTTGTATCCCCATTCGCGTCAAGGAACCCTCCGCCCTAATTTCAGCATGATTTTCTACCCTCTTCTCTAGTTGCAAATTTCACAGTTTGCATCTACACATAGGTGTATATATTACCATCATGATCAAATCTTAGCTATAAGCGATCAGTAGAGATCAATGATCTAAACTAATCTTTACCAAGGAATAAACTTGTGCTATTTTAGAGAAGAATAAAAAAGAATCCCAGCATCTAATCCAACAAATTTCAACAAATATTGAAGGGAAGGAGGGAAAGATTCAATATGATAAGATCAAGGAATCTGATTTGGCACATGTTAATTATCCATCCATCACAATGATTGCCATTAATCAGAATTCAAAATAAGAGTTTGCGTGATTTTCAAAATAAGTATTTCTAGTGATTCTTGAAGCAGTTCTTATCAACACACTTTCTATAACACAAACCCTCACTGATATTGAATTCTGTCAAAGTATGGAAAAGAGATGGAACTCACTTCTGAATATGAAAAAAATGATTAGTGATCAGAAAAAGAGTATTGAAATACCCATTGAGAAGCAACCCATGGCCACCCACGGGCTCAAACGTTCACCTGATCCATGAAAAGTCTCTGTTATTCCCTCAGATCATAGGACATACTAACAATTTTTTAATTACAATCCTCCCAACCCCAGAAAGGCAAAAAGAAAGACAAAAAAAAGAGTGAGAAACAAAATTCAGATGTAGTAGAAAGGAGGTATGGACCAGTCCAATGATACCAATTAAGAGCTAAAGCACAGAAAAAATTTTACCTATTCTGGCTGCCTTCCAAAAGAAACCACGAAACCTGTCAACAAGGCACATTACAGTGATTAGCTCCACTTTCTATATGGAACCTCTGGAATTGCACAAACACAGAAAAAGGAAAAAGAAACACAGACCAAAAAAAAGAGGAGAGGAAAAAACAGAGAGAAGCCCGACAAACACCTAGTTTAACTGACCTCAAGTAAGTTGAAGTAATATAACATCGTCAAGAAGAAATAAAGTGCTAGTTAAAGCTAGGTGCACCATGAGATATCCCTTTTTCTAAGTTTTCTTTCCATTTCCATTTCCATTTTACTTAAGAGTACCAAAATGGTTAACAGACAAAGAAATACTGTAAAACATAGCCCAGCTGTAGCAGGAGGTTCTTTTCCTGCAGAAGGGCAAAAATCTTACTATATTCTCTCTAGTGAGAAATGATTATAAGGCTTAAATTTGGCATCAAGGTTTACTTCTAACTGACATTGGGAGTCAGGGAAATTTCAGACAAACTAAGTTAGGCTTTTGAAATCCAAAGGATGTTCGAAACCTTCATAGGCATCAGATCCAGTAGGAAGGCCTTCCAGAGTTCTATTTACCAAATAAATTTCACTCTAGGCATGCACTATGCATTGCCTCATAACTTGTGATTATGATCATTTGGCTTCTTAGAATGCATCTAATAGGCACATTCTCTGCTTTGGTTTAGGGCCCTTAGGCATCTACACAACTACAATGCACTTTAATGCCAAAAGAAGAAGAAATTCCTATCAGTTTTGAAGAGTCTTCCACTAATGAAAGCATCATACACTAAACACAGTCTTATAGACCATGGCAGCTAGTGTTTAATACACAAAGTAGGAAGTGAAACCCATAAGATACTCATGATAAACAATGAATGCAGAGATGTTATCTCATTAAGAGTAGAAGTTATGCTTTTAGTTTATTTCAAAGTTAAAACATAGAAGAGTATGTATATATGTATATATACACACACATAGATAGAGTAGGGATACAATTCTTACACACCACACTTACATAAAATCTCAACCATTCATCTCTCCACTTTCAATGGTTGGGACTTTGTGTAGGTGTGGTGTGTAAAGCTTGTGTGTAAATGGATCCCTCCTCATATATATATATATATATATATATATAAAATCAGAGTAGTCTTGCTGGAATCTTGTTTGTTCATTTTTTTTTCCCATTTTCCTTTCAGTGCATTCGCTGGGTTACACCAACAGGAGGAAGCAGGGATATAATATAACTTTAATATAGGAAACCCATCCAAAAATGGGCATTCTATGGATTTTCCTTCAATCCCAAGATTCCAGCTAGAAGAGTGTTAAAACTTAAAAGTTTCAGTGCATTTAATATGCCTCCTCCTCCAAATAATTTAATACCTAAGCCTTTCTATTCAAAACCTCAAAGCTAAAACACCCACAAAATATATACACTTGAGTATGCAACCATCATATCAAGAAATGCTCAATTTCATAAGTTGCAGAAATAACCATATGCATAAGAAACAACCAAAGGCACAGAAGGCAAAACAGGAAGGAACCTACTTATCAAGAAAAGAGAATCTCTAGATTTCATCACATATCTATTTTCACAGATTGGATTAAAAAAATGAAATCTAACTCCAGATTTTCATAATGTAAGCCCATAATAACACCCAAAACAGAAAAAAAACAAAAAAACAAAAAAACAAAAAAACAAAAAAATCAAATTGACGAGGCACATACGTACCCAGTTCTCTGCTCTAGGATTGCCGGGAATTGCATCTTCAAAAAAGTGCAAGTACAAATCCCCAATAACACAACCGTTAGAAATGAATGGAAATTGAAAAGCGCCGACTGAAAATCGAAAAAAGATCCAAACCGTTAAACAAGGAAAGCTTAGTCCTTAACCCCAACAAATATATATATATATATATATATATATATCAAGCTCCGAAAAGTTCAAATACTAAAAAGTTAGGGTTTTACCATGTCTAGATCCTCTTAAATTGATCGGCTTTCTTCCCCAGAGATCTCCCGGACAATCTTCCTCAACTGATTCAAGCGCCACACAGATTTTCGTAGAGAAGAAGGGAGAAAAAAAATTCCATTTTCACTAAAGCCTATCATCCTTCATCAGAAAGGAAACACAAGAAAGCCCATTATCTGACTTTCTCTTCGGCTTAAAAGAAGCCCATACCGTTTTTGGCCCGTTCGAGCTATTTTCTCATATACCCTATTGGGACATGGTACGGCAATATAGTAGTAGTCATAACTGAGACCTAATTTTGTTTTTTGATCTGTGATTACATGTTTAATGATCTTTCTCATATCTAAAAAGTACAATAAATATATTTTTTAATTATTAAATTACATTAAAAAATACCTACCGA